CAGCCACTTGCCTGAAAGAAAATTTGCCTCTGAGGGTCAAGAAACTATCCTTAAGCTAGGTCTTGGGCTGCCATGCTGAGACATAGATTTGTAAGACTTCTTTGGCACATCTGGATGTTCAAAGACAAGGATATGGGAGGCAGTGGTTAGCAGTGGTTATATAGTTACCCTAAATTCTCCATGCTCTTTTCACATTAGAATCCAAGGCATCTCTGGGTTGTTCTTTATAGAGAAGAGGATGCCTTTCCCAGAAGCGGGGGTGTAGCTGTCTAATGATCTAAGCTTCTCCCCTAATCATAATAATAGCCTCTAACATTTAATGAGCTACTTAATATGTGCCAGGCACTATGTGAAATATTTTTATGTGGATTTTCCCCTTTGATCCTGACAACAACTCTGTGAGGTAGGTACTCTTAATTCTGTCTTCCTGGGGGAAATTGCCAAGGTTACCCAGCTTGATATGGGATTTGGAAAGTACAGTAACAGCCTGCAGCAACAAAATTAAGATTCACTCAAAAAATAAATAGAGGTATGCAGGCTGTATTTGGGGGGATATTCTTGAAATAACTGTGATTAATGGATTCTATGTAAGAAAAATTTGGTTGACGCTCAGGAACACATACATTGTACAAAGGGAAGCATGCCAATATACTGAAATGCAGATTTATCAGGTTGTTTCAACTTAAATTCCCCAACTTGCCCACATTCATAGGTAGCACTCCCGCCCCCTTTTAACCACACTTCCCTCTTGGCTGAGAAAGCATGCGTGCCTCATAAACATACATGCTGTAAAGACAAATGTGGGTGATCCAGTTTTCTTAAGAACCCAAGTTTGTTGAATTACATTTCCTGTTTGATAAAACTCGTCTTCAGTAGAGCTATTTGCTGACTTGCTGGGTGAGAATAATTGTCAACAGAATTCTCCAGTGACATTAGGCAAGTTGGAGGAAAGTAGGTGGGTCGAGAGTGGCCATGGAAGACCCAAGGAGGAAGCTGTATATTTGGACTAGAAAGATACAGTACTGGCTTGGGCACACAGGAGATGTAGATTTTAAGAGCAGCTCTGTCAATGGTCAGCTGTGCAATCTTGGGCAAGTCACTTAACCTCTCTGTACCCTAGACTTCTCATCTATTTAACAACTGAGGTTGGACTAGAGGCTCTGTAAGGTTACTTCCAGCTCCATGACTAATAGGCTGAGCCTCAGTCAGAAGCCTATCAAACATCCACAAGTGGGGGGCGCCTGGGTGGCTCAGTCAGTTGGGTGTCTGCCTCCCGCTCAGGGTATGATCTCGGGGTCCTGGGACCGAGCCCCGTGTTGGGTTCCCTGCTCAGCCGGGAATCTGCTTGTCCTTTGCCCTCTGCCCCTCCCCCCTCTCATTTTCTCTCTCTCTCTCAAATAAATAAAATCTTATAAAAAAAAGATTCAGGGGTGCCTGGGTGGCTCGGTTGGTTAAGCATCTGCCTTTGGCTCAGGTCATGATCCGTGGGTGCTGGGATCAAGCCCTGCATGGGGCTCCCTGCTTAGTGGGGAGCCTGCTTCTCCCTCCCCCTCTGCCTGCTGCTCCTCCTGCTTGTGCTCTCTCTCTGTCAAATAAATAAAAGAATAAAATTTAAAAAAAAATCCAGAAGGTGCCTCGGGTGGTTCTTTTGGAGATAAGGCCAGGTGTAATGCATAATAACAAATGATGCAGGCTTAGACAGTGTCAGGCACTCTAGATGGGGTTGTAAGACTGATCATTCTGTGCGAGGTTTCTATATTTCAGAAACAATGAGGGGCTAGTTGAGGGAGCATAAGGTAAGAGTTAAGAGCATGAGTTCTGGAGTTGGATCTTAGTTTGAAAACCAGTTCTGCCACTTCCTCATGGGTGCCCTGGGACAAATGATTTGACCTCGCTAAATGTCAGTTCCTGCTTCTGTAAGATGACAAAAGCAATACTATGTAAGCACTTAGCCCAGCACCTGGCCAAACAGAAGTACTCAGTCACCACATCTGCCACAGCTATTGGTGTGCTTATCCCTATCAAAGTTAATTCTCCTGACTTGGGCATGGCTACACTTCACTTTTCCTGGATGTAGCTTTTCCTTTCTGCATGGAATCTGAGAAGAGCATAAACAAATCTTTCTGGCCTGCCACCTTCTCTAGAGTCAGATCTGGATTCAAATCCCTGCTCCGCTTCTTACAGGGTGTGGGACCTCGGGCAAGTCATTTAACTTGTCTGCTCCTTAGCTCCTGCATTTGGGAAAATGCAGGTGGGTCTACCGCCCACCCTTAAGGGTTGTTGTGCATAAGATGATGAATGTGAAGAACTTAGGCCTGTGCCTAAGGCCTGAGGTCCAGAAGGCACCCGATCAATGTGGTACAAGTAATAGTTGTAGGAATAGTAAATACTACCACCACCTTCCTTGGGATTATCAGAGGGTTGAATGTGTACAAGCTCATACAGCATTTGCATACCTAATCCAAGTGTTGGGAGAGGCAGCCATTGCCGTTTCTTGGAGCGATAGTGAGGGAATTGTTGCCACAGACTCCACAGACCATGGCTGGCCATTTAAAACCAAGGTGTTTTTTTGTTTTTGTTTTTGTTTTTTTTCTGGAGGCATGACAAAATGATTCAGTAGGACACAGTTCTCAGCAGCGAAGTTCTATTTATTTCTACCAGTCCCCTTACACCCAAGAACCTCAGGGGGGGAGAATGGAATTCCAACCTGACCCTTTACTTCTAAGGCTCAATTTCAGTTGGTCACCCATGACTTATTGTTCATGGGCTTCATGAGGAGCACCCAGGGGCAGAGACGTAACATCTCTGTTCTTCTTTGCCAAAAGTCATCTTCGTTCTCAAATGGATGCCGCCTAACTTTTCTTGAGCCTCTTGGGGCAGGTGTAAGCTTCACTTGACAGATGGTAGGAACAATGGGAGTCCACAGGGATGTGATGTTAAAGTAGGTGGACTTGTAGGTAGGGGGGACTTTAGTGGTATTAACAAATAGAAATGAAAAAACTGAGCAGTCCTGATGGTTCTTAGAGATGAGCCTATTTACTGAGGGAATGATAGGAGATTTTTTTTTATTTCCCTCCATTTTTCTCTTGTACTCTGTTAAAAGTCTGATAAGAGAAAGAAAACAGTGAGTCACTGCAAAGTGAAGCTAAGCACCAGGTTTCCTGTCCTTCCCAGATCACTCCCGGTTGGGAGGGTGTTGGCTCCTACACCCAACAGGGGTGTAGACTGCATCCCTCCAGACACCTGCCCTCTGCCCTGGCCTCATACTTTCAATCAGTCTTGCCCTCTTCCCTCTACCCTTCATGGAATACTAACCACAGGATCCAAAGGCTTCTTCACAGGGATTTTCCAGTAACATCTCTTCTGTGTCCCATGTCTCCAGTTTTTTTTTTGCCTTGGGTTCTGAGATTATAGAAATGAAAAATGAATTTCAGTTTTGGACAGAGATTTAGGGGTAATTCCTCACATCTAGAAAAACACTTCCTCTGCATGTCTACCAGATTTCTTCCACTCAGCTCTCATCCTCACCCCTTGTCCCCGGAGCAGTGCCTTTCTCCTCCTCAGTGGCCCTGGCCAAGGCAAGGCCCCTCCGTATAGGTAGAACAACCCAAGGCTCTGGGGTGGCCTGAAGGGCTAGATCCCTTGGAGAGCAGAGGTGACATAATATTGACAGATGACTATCATGGACAGTGGGGTCCCAAGAAACACTGGAAAGGAGTGGCCATTAACAACAATGGGCCTTCAAGGTCTCACAGTTTTTTTTTTTTTTAAATGCCTTTATTGTATTAGGAATGATTGTATATGCTTATTAGAAAAACTAGAATTTCCAAAAAACCATACATCCAGAGAAAGTCACCTAGGCCTTTTACTCCTCAAAATCACCTAGTATCTCACCCCTAGAGAAAACCACTGCTGTTTTGGTGATTTCCCTTCAGATATTCTGTGCCTGTGTACATATCATGCTGAACATGCTAGACTCTGATTTACCATTTTCTCTAGCAAAATATCAGGCTATGGAAAACTTTCCATGTCAGTAAATATTATGCCAATAATATTATGTCAACATTATGCCTTGTAATGTCTGCCAATAATATTATGTCAACATTATGCCTTGTAATGTCTGCATAGTATTCGATTGTATGAATGCACCATAATTTATTTAGCCATTTCCCACTATTAGTCCTTTAGCTTGTTTCCAACTTGGAGCTGTTGTACACAATATTGGGTTTCCACATTTAAAAAAAAGATTTTATTTATTTATTTGACAGAGAGATCACAAGTAGGCAGAGAGGCAGGCAGAGAGAGAGAGGGGAGGAAGCAGGCTCCCTGCTGAGCAGAGGGCCCGATGCGAGGCTTGATCCCAGGACCCCAGGACCACGACCAGAGCCAAAGGCAGAGGCCTTAACCCCCACTGAGCCACCCAGGCACCTGGGTTTCCACATTTTTAACGTGGAATGTGTGTGTGTGTACACACCCAACTTTAAGTGGAATGTGTGTATATGTATGTGTATATATATATGTATACACACATACACACACATACATATTGAGAGAGGGAGACAGACAACCAAACTACTCACCATAAAGGTTGTATCAATTTGTACTTCGACCACTGGAAATCATAACCTTTAAGATAACCTGATAGCTGTGCAAAGATCTTGTGTCAGCCAGTGCTGGAGTGCTGGGAGATCTTACTGGGCTACCAGAGGGTAGTCCCCAAGCACTCTCCCTCTACCTCACCTGCTTCTTCTACCCACCAACCATAGTATGAGAAAAGAGTTTCCAACTCAAAATAGGAATACTCTTTTATAAATTATGAGAGAAGGCCTATATTTTCTTTTCTATCTTTTCTTTTCTGACTAACCACTGGTCCAGCATTACCTTCAAAAAGATCATTGACAATTGGAGCTGGGGTCTGCAAGTCATCACTTTGATTGTAGCAAAGCTCAGTAGTGTTCCGAGTTCTGTTTCCACCAGAGCATTCACCTTCCTCCATGGGTTCATCTAAAGCAAACGTTACTGATATTATTCTTTTTAGGCCTTAATCTTATACCTTCTTTCTGTACAGCAAGAAGATGGAGGGGGGGAAAATGTCAGTTGTTGCTCTGACAGTTCAGGGATTGGTCCCTGGGGCAGTAACATTTAAAGAGCCACTTACCTGTAGGATTGGCTTTAGGGGCCTAGCTTCCACTGAGTGTTGTCCTAGATGATGTCTTTTTTCTTTGGACATTCCCATCCTGGTAGCAAAGCTGGGAAGAGAGGAAAGACAGAGCAATAGCAAAATAGACACACTTCAGCCTCCAATTGAATGTAGCTATGACCCTATCCCTGCTATATGCCTTTGGACATTGGAGGGGAAGAGAGAGCAAGAGGACATTTAGGTCTTTTATTCTTCAAAACCTTAATCAACTCCTGTTTTTTTTTCCTTTTTCTTCTTTTCCATATTCCTGTTGTCCCTCATCTTTCCTAATTACTGGGAGGAACAGAGAACTTAAAGCAGAGAATGTAGAGTAGATTTACGACTCTTTGCCACAGAATGTTTCAATCAGCTTCTTAAGGAGCTCATGTTCCTTTTCTCCTCTGTGTGGCAAACCAGGCAACAGGAACCTTGTTTTGCAGATGCTCTAATACCGATAGGTTTGGCTTTACCTTTCTACAACGCATTCCACTAACATGAGGGGAGGGTAGGTCTAACAACTTTGGAATGTTCATGGTCATTGCCCTAGCCCCATTTGGGTCAACTGATCTGGAAACACTTGCTCAGCATAGCACAGAATCCAAACACCACCCAGGCCTCCCTGCGTACACTGAAGACTGACTCCTGCATCTGTTCTTATTAGTACACCTAATAGAGGCCCTCAGTACCTGTCTGATGAGCATCTTTCCCCAGAGCCTCTGGTGCCCTTGGAGGTTGGGATGTTCAAGGTGAGTGCCTGTTGGCGAGTACACAGCTCATCATACTTATCCCCAATGGCAGCTAATAGCCAGCGCAGCCCTTCAATTATGGGCTGATGGTTCCTTTTTTGTAGGTTTTTGATGGCTGAACAGGGTTCCTGTGACAGAAAGAGAAGAGAAGAGAATGCTCTAACCCAAGGGACTGGAACCCTTGAGCCCAAAGTCCGAATTATTCTCAGCCAAGAGCAGAGGTACCCTTAAGCTCTGCTATGCCTATAGAGGCTCTCAGACTTCCTAGGAGATACCCAGGACCCACCCCTGAGAAGGTAAACGAAAAGAGAAGAGTTGAGGTCCTTTAATAAAGTGATTGTGGTGTCATGTCCTGGATGTGTGACGTTGGGCAAGTCACTCATAGCCTCTGAGCCTTAGCTTTCTTGTCCATAAAATGAGGCTATTGAAACTTCTAATTGTACAGAGCTATTTTGAAGGCCTAATGAGAAAACAGATGTGAAAATGTCTTAAGAATGCATTATTTACTGTCAGTGTTGAGTCAGAAATCATCACTGTAGATGTTGCCTGTGGGGGAGAGGCTTTGCCTGAGACCCAGCAGATGGGGCTGATTATGGAATGGGCCAGGGGATGCATCAGCTGGACTCAAGAGGGTGAGAGGGAGGGAGGGGAGGAAGGGGAGTTGATACTTACCACTCGGCACAGGGACTTGTTCTCATTCACTAGCCTTTCTAGGAGTAGATATTCAATAATATCACAAGGTAGGAGGGCATCCTTCTTGTCTTGTTTGTTTGCCAGGCTAGAGCAGGGCATAGGAGAGAGGAAGGGAAGAGAAGAGGAAGAGTGTAACAGAAATTGAGGCCAAGGGCAAGCAAAGAAGGGAAGGAGGAGGAGAACCAATCAAATCTAGTACAACTACTGTATATCCAGGAACTAGCTTTAAAAACATAACCAGTGGGGGGCACCTGGGTGGCTCAGTGGGTTAAGCCTCTGCCTTCGGCTCAGGTCATGATCCCAGGGTCCTGGGATCGAGCCCCGAGTACGGCTCTCTGCTCAGCAGGGAGTCTGCTTCCCCGCCCTCTCTGCCTACTTGTGCTCTCTCTCTCTCTGTCAAAAAAATAAATAAATAAATAAAATCTTAAAAAAAAAAACATAACCAATGGGATGAGGCAGAAATGTTTCTAGCCAACTCTAAGTGGAGAAAAGAAGAGGACAGATAATTTGAATTCAAGATAATCCCCTGGCCTCACTTCTCTCTTCCTCTACTCTGTGCCATCAAACTTGAATTAGAATGGCTAACTGGGATATGAATAGAATTGGAGTTTTTAACACACCCTCCCAACCTCTGTTCAGGCTTGAATTGGGGGTACTAATGAGGAATGAAAAAAACAAAAAGGGAGTGAGGGAAGGGTGAGGAATGATGGGCCACCAGAATTACCACCCTGGAATGAATGCTAGTTATATAACTCTTGGGTAGTTGGTGAGAGTAGGAGTCCATTGATATCAATTATACAAAACAGGAGTTGTTTTCTGCCACCTTCTCAGGGTCAGAGATGGAAAGTGGCTTTTGAAAACTGCCCCCAGAGGACTGGCCCACTTCCTTTCACTGAGCTGAAGGGAAGAGGAGGTCACGCTGGGTGTGACAAAGGGACCACCCTTCCTGCCTACTTCTCTTCTGAGGATACATGGGAAGGGGGAATTGGGCACAAAAGCATAGGCTTACAGTAGGAGAGGTTTCCCTGCCACTCTTTTATCAGCCAGCAGATGTGTCATGATGATCTTCACTTCTTGCATGCGGCCTAAGTCACTGGAATCCAGGACAAAAACAAGTCCATGTGCCTGTGCATAGTAGTTTGGCCAGATTTCTCGGCCCTTCATGTCTCCATTCAGGTCATAGATGGAAACTTCATACTCATCCAGCAAGAGTGTAATCAGTTCAGGTTTCATACAATTGTCCATTCTACTGGGAAGTACTAGCAGCCACAAAGCAAGGGAATAGAGTTAGACATAAGAATTTGGTTAGCGATGATCTGAACCTTGACCAGAGCCTGCTCTGAGGAATCCAACTGAGGCGTCTTGCCATTCTGCTCACACTCATGGATTCATCTTCCTCAACCAGCACTTGGTCATGCTATCCTTTCCTGGCTCAGTAGCCTTCAGTGAGTACCCACTGCTCCCAGGATAGAATACTGGCCCCTTTGCCTCCTAACCTTCCAGACCTGACACCAGTCACACAACCACTTTCTTCCTCCCTCTGCTCCTTGGCTAGTGTTCTTCCCATACCACAAGAATGCCATGCTCTGTTTTGCCCTGGGCCTTCACAACATGCTATTCCCACCGCTTAGAACACTTTCACACTACTCTCTGTTTGCTTAGTGTCTTTTTTTTTTTTAAAGATTTTATTTATTTCTTTCACAGACAGAGATAGGCAGAGAGGCAGGCAGAGAGAGAGGAGGAAGCAGGCCCCCTGCTGAGCAGAGAGCCCGATGCGGGGCTCGATCCCAGGATCCCAGGACCATGACCCGAGCTGAAAGCAGAGGCTTTAACCCACTGAGCCACCCAGGCGCCCCTGCTTAGTGTCTTTTAAAAAAATACATCAATTTAGGGGCATCTGGGTGGCTCAGTGTGTTGAGCCTGTGCCTTCAGCTCGGGTCATGGTCTCAGGGTCCCGGGATTGAGCCCCGCATTGGGCTCTCTGCTCAGCAGGGAGCCTGCTCCCTCCCTTCTCTCTGCCTGCCTCTCTGCCTACTTGTGATCTCTCTCTGTCAAATAAATAAATAAAATCTTTAAAAATATATATCAGTTTAGATTGTGTTGCCTCTAGGAATTTTTCCCTAACTCACACCATCATCTGCCAGGCTAGACAAGGTGCCTTTCTTCTAGGCTTACCACTCACAGCACATATTAGTGTTATAAAGTCTATGATTTTATTATCTGAGTTCTAAACTACAACAGGACAGGAACCCTTTCAGTTCTGTTCACCGTTGTATTCGTGATGCTGAGCACAGAAGCTGGCACACAGCTGGCAGAACAGATATTTGTTGAATGAATTTTGGTGAATGAATGAATGAATGAATGAACGAACGAACAAGGGGCCCTTTTCTCCCAGCCTTTCTTCAAGGCCTACCTCAAGTACCACTTTTTTTTTCGGAAGCCTCTCTGACCTGTCCATTTCTCATTTCTCTCGTTTTTATTGAGCATGTGGTCTAGTGAACTGGTTCTTAACCTCATTCCGTGTGTATCCTGTCTTCTCAACTAAAATGTAAGCTCTGTCAGGGAGGGGCTCCGCATTACCTTACATATAGTAGGTACTTAACAAATGTTTATGGTGCCTATTACTGTGGATGAAAGTATGAAGTCCTCTTTCTCATATCTCCTCCAAGAAACCATTCCAAACTCAGATGCATTTACTGTTTTAAGGCTATGGCCAGGGCATAGAATCCCATAGAGTGTTCCATACCTCTTTCAGCTCCCATAGAAATGCAGTTCAAAACGACAGTTTTATACACATTGCAGTCTTTTGAACTCACAGTCCAACCTGGCTCTCTCCCCACATTAGTAGTAAAATGATTTTTATAGATTCTCTATACTCATACCTGGGAGTTTTAACACCAGAATCAGCAGCTTCTTATTTATATATAGTCTTAGATCTACCTATGACACTTTCCATGAGATTGCCAGAAGGAGCCATTTAGCTGAGACATTAGTAAGATGCTTTCAAATCTTCGGAAATGTATACTATACACATATTTACGTGTGTGTGTGTGTGTGTGTGTGTATAATATATATATAATCTATATTATATTATCTATATTATCTATATAATATATATTATCATTACATTTTCATGTTAGTCAATGATCTTTTTAATTATAGTTTTCAGACAACAGTTTTCAGTCACAACTTTGATATGGCATTTGCTATGTATTAGATTACTTAAAAATAGTGAGTGAACAGGTTGAAATTCCATAGGTAATTTTTTAATCTTATTTCCTGCATCCAGGCAAGATTTTTTTTAAGAAATTTTTTTTAAGATTTTATTTATTTATTTGAGAGAGAATGAGTGAGAGAGAGCTTGAGAGAGGAGAAGGTCAGAGGGAGAAGCAGACTCCCCAAGGAGCTGGGAGCCCAATGCGGGACTCGATCCTGGAAGTCCAGGATCATGACCTGAGCCAAAGGCAGTCGCTCAACCAACTGAGCCACCCAGGTGCCCTAGGCAAGATTTATATCATTTTTTTCTCTGTCAGAGCAAAACATTTTCCCTAGTTTCTTTTTTTTTCTTTTTACTTGAAACCTTACCAGTTCCTTCCATAATGCAATCTATTGTTGGTGAACCTTAGAAGACATGAGAAGTTGTTTCCTGATAATTTAAATTTCTTTTATTTCCGCTATTAATTTGTAAACTCTCTGAGGACAGGCACTGAGTCTAATTTATCTCTACATTCTTTTTTTTTATAAAGATTTTATTTATTCATTTGACAGACAGAGATCACAAGTAGGCAGAGAGGCAGGCAGAGAGAGAGGAAGGGAAGCAGGCTACCTGCTGAGCAGAAAGCCGGACTCGGGGCTCAATTCCAGGACCCTGAGATCATGACCTGAGCCGAAGGCAGAGGCTTTAACCCACTGAGCCACCCAGGCATGCTTATATCTACATTCTAAAGCACAGTCTGGGGACTCTGATTCAGAGATACATAGAGGTGATCGTGAAGTCCTACTTTATACCAAATAAATCAGAACCTCTATGTTTGGGACCAGGCATTTGTATGTTTAACAAACTCCTATAGTGAAGAAAATCCCCAGGTGATTTTTCTGTACTTTTAAGCTTGAGACTCACAGCCTTAGAGAGCAATGAAACTCATGCCTGTTGTGTCTCAGCATCATCTGGTGCGCTTGTTAAGATTTTGTATCTGTGGGCCCACCCAGACCAAAGTATCAGAACCTCCAGGCACCTGGGTCAGTAGGTATGAAATCCCCCTAGGTGATTCTGAGTTTAGGCTCTCAGTACTCACTATGCTCAAAGGATCACCTGTGGAGCTTTTAAACCCTGTGACAGTAGGCCTCATTCTTTGAAGGTTTGATGCCACAGATCTGGATTGAGGCTTAAGCATTTTTTTTTAAAGCTCCCCAGGTAACTGAAAGCTATTGCTGGATTTGAGAGGCACTGCTCTAAATGCCCTCATTTAGGGCAGCTGCCCATGCTCATGTTTGGGTTTCTTGCCCCCATGGGACCATGCCAGGCAGAACAGTTATAGTGAATGGTGTCATTGATAATAATGGCTTATATCCCAAAAATATTTTGTAGCTGGTATCTTCAAATGTTCACACAAGTTAGAACTTGTAGATTGAAATTTCCTTCCTAGGTTATTGTTTGTTCTTGGCAATCATAAACATCTGCAGGAGCAGGGGAGGCGAGCTATTGCATTTTGGGTACTAGATTGACTCTGGTTGTCCTGCATGGCCAAAGATGGCCCTCGACAGCCTTCAGGTTGTGACATCAGTGACACTTTGCTTCTTCACCATTCAAAACTATTCTTTGAATGAAGTCACAACCATATACCTATTGGCTTATGAAGCAGCCCCAAGGTAGTCACCAAGCACAAGGCAAGTTATACAGTAACACGTCAAATAGATTATAGGCTCTTTCCTTGAGGAATTAGAACGAAAAGCAGGCACGGTTCTCACAGACAAAATAGCACATGGCTAATTGCAAGATGAATGCTTCCCAAAGCTGGCTGGCCACCAGGAACACCTGGGGAGTTTTTTTTTTTTTCTGGGGAGTTTTTAAAAGATGGATTCCCAGGACCCACCCAGACTGGATGGGAATCTGGGGCTGGGGCTGAGTTGGGGCTCTAAAAATTATCCCCACTTTCATCAGTAATCTTGTGATTTATCCTGGCTCCTTGATTTTCCTGCTACCCCTTAGCTTTTTACCATTTCTGCCTATCAGAGAACTGGGAGAGGTAGTGTGTCAAGTTTTCTGCCTATAAGGGGAAAGGACCGGGGAGGGGGAGGATGGAGAAGTTGTAAAGAGGCAGCATGTTGCCTGAGGAGAATGGGGGAGAACATTCCACAACTATTGAGTACCTGCCCGAAGATACTAAAAGCACAGAGACTAAAGATACAGAGCTGAAAAGATCTGTAACTTCTCAAGAGGCTCACAGTCCAGGGGAAGGACTTGCTGTCATGCAGTGATGTCATAAGTGCAAGCTAGAGAGAGGCACAGAATAGAGCAGGAGCTGAGGAAGGAGGCGCTGGGCATTAGGGATGACCCAGGTCAAGCTGGGGCCAAGTGTAGGCTTGTGTCTGAAGGCATTTGATTAAGCAGTTAGATAATGAAGTGGATGAATTGTTAGGTAGTGAGACAGCATGTACAGAGTGTGGGCATGTGAACTAGAATGCTATGATCACGGAGGAGTGGCAAATAATTTGTTTTGGCTTTATCAGGGGGCAAATGCAGAGACGGTGAGAAAATGAAGCTGGAGGAGAAGTCAAGGACCAAATCATGGAGGACCTTGTGTGCTGCTGAAGAATTTAAATTTTGTTTTGATGATAAAGGGAGGCTTTGGTTTTGAGCAGGGAAGTGCCATGGTCAGATTTTTGCATTAGATCCTTCAGGCAACTGTGTGCATTGAGAACTGGGTGTACAACTACAGATGGCAAGATCAGCCAGCAGGCAGTCACTGTAGTTCAAGGAGATTGATGCAGGCTTCCAGTAAACAAGTGGCAGAGGAGTCAGGTGAGCCGTTGCCTGTACTTTGCTGAGGGCCCAGGTTATGTAAAGCTCAGCCACATCATCACACCCCTTTTTCTGTTTTATACACTTAAATGGAGGTCATCCTATGCTGGGCTCCCTACTTGGCTGACCAGCAGTTAGATGGGTCTTCGCAGCTAGAATAGTTGTTCCCTGAAATTCTGTGTAACTATTGCTTGAAATGTCAAGGTATTAAACTGGAGATCTGGTATTAAGCGTGCATGCCTCTGAACTGACAACATTTCTCAAGCTCCAACCCTCTATATTAACTGTCACAAAGAGTTTCATGTTATTAAACTTCTTCATCATCCCACACTTGTCTCTCTTATCTAGACCAAATTCCACTTTAATTGAGTTCTGAAACTAGACACTGTTTGAAACATGCTATCCTTTAAAATTGACTGCAGTACTTTACATAGTTTGAGCTCATTCATACTGACACTATGAGAGGACCTTCAATTAGGATGTCTTGTAAAGGGAGAGGCGACAGACATTACATAAACAGGCTGATCGTACCTGAGGAATGTGTGTGTGTGTGTGTGTGTGTGTGTGTGTGTGTGTGTGTGTGCGCGCGCGCGTTTGCGTTGGGAAGTGATTATCTTCAAAAGACGGAACCTGAGGGCCATGAAGTAAGGCTAGGAAGAAAGGAATGATTATTTAATTGGCCCCTGGGGACCATAGGAAACCTAAACCAGAATATAATGCTCTTAATTCCTTACATCTTTGGAAAGCCTCCACAAGAACAGTTTTGCCTGAGTTGTCCAATCCAATGATAATGATGGTCACATTCCTGGAAATAGAAAAGAAAAATGAGCCAAAGCCTTAAAAAGCACTGTTAGTTCTTAGGGTAAACAAAGAATTCTATTCTTCATTGATGTTTGAGGCTCTGCCTGTAGGAGTCTCAATGCATCTACCATAAAAAGCACAGCCAAGGTGGTAGAAAGTGGCATGGGAACCCCTTCCTAAAGCCTCCAAGGATGCATTTATTCCCTGATTTACTTGCCTTGTAGAATTGGCCATCCTCCCCCAACCTTGCCTCCAATCTTGCAGACGTTGCTTAATCACATTCCCTTACAATATATATCATGAAGATTCGTCCCTTGAGGGACTTTGGGCCAATACACTGGAGGAAATGGAATAGGTCTAGAGAAATAATTGCAATATTACCTTCGTGTCTCTTCAGTTGTCTTTAGCCGAGACCAGCAAGAGGTCAGCAGCCGGAACATGATTCAGCTTGATTCTTTAATATTAAGGGAAACAGATAAATGAAAAATCAGCCCCATTATTAACACTGAGCCTCAGTCATCTTAGGACTTCACAGGTGCTAATAAAGTCTTAAGTCAGAAGTCCATAACTTCATGCTATCCAACCTTGTCTACAAATGTCATAGAGGGAGAAACGTAATTCTCAACTCCACTGGAAGGTACCTGCAAAGTGGGAGGAATTTCTTATTAAAGCAACCCACCATGGGCATGATAACATCAGTTATGGCCTGTCCCTTCAGCCATAGTTCATCCCTGTTAGGAATATCTCCATTCAGTCCTGGGTGGGGGTGGGGTGTGCAGCAAAACCTTGGAGAAGAACCAGATTAGATTTTAAGAAGGACCTATTGGGAGATCCAAGTGACAACTATCCACTGGGCTTGGTTCTTTTATTGCTTTCTGCTTCAAATATGTATGTATTGATGACCCACTGTCATAGATTTCATACAATTTCTAGAACTGTAAGGGACCTTAGAGATCACCTAGTCTAACAGATTTCAAACATCAGTGCAGGTACCCCACTCTTTAAGATTCTAGGTTGCTGCATAAGCTCCCCTGGTGGTTTCAAAGTGCAGTGATATTTGGAAATGATCACATAAGTAAAAAGGGCAATTTAGACAATCACTTCAATGTTTATCCATGTTGTAGTGTGTATTAGTATTTTGTTCCTTTTTCTGGTTGAATAATATTTTGCTGTGTGTATATACCACAGTTTGCTTATCCATTCACCAGTTGATGGGCATTTGGATTGTTTCTACTTTTTGGATCGTATGAATGATGGTGCTGGTGTTTTCAGCTCTCTTGGGTCTATACCGAGGAGTGGAATTGCTGGGTCATATGATAACTCTATGTTTAACCTTTTAAACCTTTTTGAACCTTTTGAAGATGTGTCAGACTGTTTTCCAAAGTGGCGGCAACATTTTACTCTCCCACCAGCAGTGCAGATGATTTCCACTTTATCCACATCCTCACCAACACTTATTGTTGTCTGTTTATAGCTATCCTAGTGGGGGTGAAGTGGTATCTGATTGTGGTTTTGATTTACATTTTCCTGTTGACTAATTATATTGGATCCCAGAGCTGGGGTAAGTTCCCACTGAGTTAGTGAAACACTTCAACTGATACTTCAGATGGGCTTTGCCTAGCTACCTCATGAGCACAGGGCATGTCCAACTTATCATGGATAACGTAACAAGGTTCTGCAGAGTCAGTCCCTATTTTGGAGAATTGCCATTACCAAATAGAGACTCACAGTTCATAGCACTACTTAGAGTACAGTTTATGCCCTAGGAAAATCGTTTGGTTCCCCATAAGGACCTCCTGGAGAATGGCTGTGGCTTATGCCTGATGAAAGGGAAACCTTATATATGGCTTGTGATCAAATCCAGCCTTATTTCCACTTTGCTCCTGAAGCTGAAAAGACCTGGAGCCTGAAAACACCAGAGCCTAATTATCTGGGTTCCACAATAGCCATCTCCCTTTGAAATGAGACCAGTAGCAGCTTCATGTCTATGTCCTGATAACTGGCCAAGCTTCCTAGCTTGATCTCACGTTCTCTGTACTTGTTAGTGTCACCAAGAAAAGTCAAACTGACATCACACAAGTCTTTCCTCAAGACCTCTAAAGAAGGTTAAATAGGATAACTGAGGAGGAAAACAACTGAGCTAGGGTTTAGTGGTCATTTCTTTCATCTCCAGTGTCTCTCCTAAGTATCCTGGGGTGAAATCACCTAAATTAAGCCTTCATATCTCTTTTCTGTAAATAGAGATAATGATATATTTTGCTTACCTTGAGGTGGTTAATTATTTATCTGATTAGAAGTTGGTTCTTTTTGGATGAAAGACATAAGATATGTAGAGTAATAGGAAGGTGTGTTGAGCTTTCTAGCCTTCTTGCCAGATTAATACAGCTCAGTTGCCTGCTTGTGAAGGGTATGGCGATGGCCTAACAATGGCTGTCAAGACTCTGACATATCTATGGCAACTACTGCCTGGTTCATAGCAACCAAACCCACATCTTCCTACCTTATATAATTACAGCTAATTACTAAATGAACTTTTAGTTATCATAGTTTTTTTTTTCAGTTTACAAAGTATTTATATATTATACAAACTGTTTTTTATACAAAGTAGATCTTTATTTATATAGAACTTAGTATGTGTCAGCCCTCATGTAAGTACATTATACATATTAACTCATTTAATCCTTATTACAACATTGACAAAAAGTGGGGGCTGTCATTCCTACTTTTTGGAGATGAGGTTCACAACAAGATTAAATAATTTTCCCAGGGCTACCCAGCTAGTATGTGATAAAGCCAGAATCCAAACCTGTGTGTTCCAGCTTTAGAACCTGTATATTAGGTTAAGGGTCTCACAGGCTGTGTGAATGAGATGCTCTCAGGGACCAAAGAAACTGCATCTGTTCTGGGCCTCTTTGTCTCTTCTGGCCAAACTGTATTTTACTTACTCTGTTTTTGGTGAACTTTTAAAAAATAAACTTCATTTTTTAAAAGATTTTATTTATTTATCTGATGAATAGAGATCACAAGTAGGCAGAGAGGCAGGCGGGGGATGGGGGAAAGCAGGCTCCCTGCTGAGCAGAGAGCCTGATGCGGGGATCAATCCCAGGACCCTGAGATCATGACCTGAGCCCAAGGCAGAGGCTTAACACACTGAGCCACCCAGGCGCACCAGGATGGTTTTAGATAAACAGAAAAATCACAAAGATACTACAGAGATTGCCCATATACCCCACGCCCAGTTTCCTCTATTTTTAGCATCCTATGCTAGTATGGTGCATTTTTTCTTACAATTAATGAAGCACTATTCTTTTTTTAATGAATCAATCTATGTATTGGGAAATATAGTTAGTTACATCTTAGAATTTCACTGGAAGCAATATTCTTTAATGTCCTTCTTCTGTTCCAAGATCCCATCTAGAATCCCGTAGTATATTTTGTTGTCAAATCTCCTTAGGCTCCTCTGGGCTGTGACAGTTGCTCAGATTTTGTTTTTGATGACCTTGGCAGGAGTACTGATCAGGTATTTGTAGAATGGTCTTCACTTGGTGTTTGTATACTATTTTCTCATGAGTAGGCTGGAGTTATGTGTTCTTGGGAGGAAAACCACACAGGGAAAGGCCTTCCTCTTTACATCATATCATGAGTACATGCTACCAACATGATATATTGCTGGTGATGTTGACTTTGATCACCCAGCTGAGGTGGTGTTTGCCAGGTCTCTCCCCTTTATTCTCCCCTTTCCATACTAGACCCTTTGGAAGAAAGTCACTATGTGCAGCCCACACTTAAGGAATGCAGAGTTGTGCTCCACCTCCTTAAAAGTAGAGTATTTACATAAATTATTTGGGATTCTTCTGTATGGGAAGTTTGTCTATTTTCACTCATTTGTTTATTAAATCATTTATTAATACAATATGGACTCATGGGCATTTATTTTATACTTTGAGTTATAATCCAATACTACTTTATTTATTTATTTATTTCTGCTCAAATTGTTCCAACTTTGGCACTGGGCATTCTTTCAGTAGACTCCTGTATCCCTCTGACACACCTCCATCGTTGTGTTTTGTTTGTTTGTTTGTTTGTTTGTTTTAGCACTTCATTGCTTTCTGGCCCTATCAGATGCTTCAGGCTCATCTTCTGTATTCCCTGCCTTAGTCATAGAATCAGCCATTTCTTCGAGGAGTCCTGGATCCTTTCATTAGAGAATGGTCTTAGAAATCAAGATCTGGGTAGTAGATGTGCTCATTGCTACTGATGTGGCATTGCTTCTAGGCCCTCTCAGACGACAGAACAAGGAAATGTATGTTTGTTTACTAACTTGTGTATATACCTATAAATGTTTATGTGACAGTGTTTATGTATAGTGAACTAAATGAGATTGTACTGATGTTTTCAACTCTAACCCATCACCACTTGGATCATTCCAGCCTTTGCCCTTGGCTCATATGTAACCTCCCACTCCAACAATGAGCAACCCAGCTTCCATCATCCATGATCTATTGACTTGATTATTCAATCCCAGTATACATATATAGCAGTATTAGAATTCTTAACTCACACCTGCGAGTAACTTGATCAGCTAGAGTAGAATGCTCTGTGTACTTCCTTTTGCTTTTGCTGTTACAGATTCCACTTACTTGCAAAGTTACTTGGGTCAGTACTTACCCGACTTTCTTCAGTGAAGTTGTTTTGTACATTCGTAATACACATACTCTGATAAGTTAATTTTATGTGTCAATTTGACTGGGTCAGGGGTTGCCCAGATATTTGGTCAGACATTATTCTGGGTGTTTTTATTCTGGGTGAGAGTGTTTTTGGATGAGATTAACACTTACCTGAGTAGGGGTACATGGGTGGCTGAGTCAGTTAAGCATCTGCCTTTGGCTCAGGTCACGATCCCGGGGTCCTGGGATCCAGCCATTCATTGAGCTCCCTGCTCGATGGGAAGCCTGCTTCTCCCTCTCACACTCCCCCAGTTGTGTTCCCTCTCTCTCAAATAAATAAATAAATAAATAAATAAATAAATCTTTAAAAAACAACAACAAAACCCATTTACTTGAGTAAAGCAAATTGTGCTCCCCAATCTGTTGGCCTTACTCGATCAGCTAAAGGCCTGAATAGAACAAAAAGGCTGACCCTTTCCCAAGTAAGAGAGGATTCTTCCTATTTGACAGCTTTGGAAATAGGACATTGGCTTTTTTCCTGGACCCTGGAATCATGACCTGATCCAAAGGCAGATGCTTAACCAACTGAGCCACCCAGATGCTCCTGGGTATAGCTTTCTAAATACACAGGCACTTTTGAGTGCTCTGATTTCCCAAAGGAACTTTTGTCTTGGATTTTTCTCCCAGGAATTTAGGTGGTATATTGATGATATGGCTTATTGATAACCTTCGCAGCTGCAGGATTCTGTTTACCTTACAATATTTTTGAGCAA